TGAAAACCAAAACAGTTTCAAGGATACCAACCTATGGGAGCAGAAGGGTGAGGTGTTTTTTCTCCCCAAACCCACGAGAAGCAGCAGCAGACCCCAGGTCTCATGCCTGGAGAAAACAACTCTTGTCAGTGCAGCCTCTACCAAATTTCCAGGCTCAAAGATCTCAGGAAGCAAAATTCTTTATGCTTATTGAAACAGTTTTCTATCTTCTCTCTTTTTGCCAGTGTAATCATAAATAAAAGATCTTGGTGAAAGGGGTTGACTCAGCCTATAAGTAAACTAAAACTGAAACTGTAAAGTGCCCCAGTGAAATGAAAGCAGCATGGAGATGATGTGCCAGACTTTGGAGCATCTGAAACTGAGCAAGAGATGTGGCTCATTATAAGAAAAATGAGGGTGTCTAAGCAAGATGAGAGAAGAAGGGCTTAAAAACTTTTTCTATTCCCTTAGATCAGCCCTTCCTCTCAGCAATCCTCTCCCCACCCTGCCCTTTCCACTATAGGGGAGTACCATTCATTTCTGAAGAGTTGAGATTTGTCCCAATGTACCACCAGAAAGTAAAGTACAGGGGGTTATGCACTGCCCATTTCTTTATGCAAGCTTTTTACAGCAGTCCTAGAAAGATGCCTCAGGGGAAACACAGCTCCTTCTAGAGTTCAGCAATGTGAGGGAAATCTCACAAAGTGATATCTCTGTTAAGGGCTGCCAGCAGGATGCTGTTCTCGGGAGATACCTTGGAAATGCTTTGCAGCTTTTCCCATCTGCTGCTCTGCTCCTGGCCAGAGATTAGAGCTGTGGAAAATGCTTCTCTAACCAAACCCTAGATGGGCTGGAAAATCAAACTAATGCTGGTTTGATTTTCCACGAGAACCTAGAAAATCCGATCCCAAGCCCCATAACATGTTCAAGCCTATGCTTTTTTTTTAATTCCACTCTTGGCAGCTCATGAGGTGAATGGCAGATTTCATGCAGTGYCTCATTCTGCTTATAACTTTCAATMCATGGATGTCACGGGCATGCTGCCTGTTCCAGTTTTTCAGCTGTGTGTTGATCCCACCATTTTTGCTGCAGAAATTTTCATCTTCTTTTTTGACTATATGTATCAGCAGCTGCATGACCAGATCTCACAGTGCTCATAGCTAACTTCCCCTATGGATGCACACACATTTCTGTTCTCCCAGAAAAAGTCAACGGAACCTTTTACAACCTGGCCTCACCATCCCACCCTCACATAAAAAATGGRTGGTCCCATGCTGAAAAGGCCAGGAGAAACTCCCCAAAACACAGCAGAAGTTTGCTATTTCCAGTTTTGCAATTCCAGGTGTAATCAGCTGGTTGCCTCTATTTTCAGTTCCTGATTTCTCAGGAACTGAAATAATTCCTTCTACTTTTGTACAAGAGGTACAATGTACTTTTCTTGTACAGGGCAAGGGTTGAAGTGCCATCTTTGTGGCAGCCTGTCACCTCCTCTTGGTCCAAGTGCTGTGATAGGACCTTTCATGAGCAGAGGTGCAATTGCCCTTCCCCTGAGCTGTGTACATACTGCAAGTGTGAACTGGATCCCATTGCTCTGCTGAAATACCAGGCATCACAAACTGAATGAGTAAGTGCATGACTGGCATTTTAAACATTCTCTTCTATGTTTTTGTAACAGAAAGCGGCAAAAGTGGGGAGGAGGATCTACAGAAGCTTCTGCTTTTTGGCTTTCATGTTACTCAAGTTCTTCTGTAGAATCTTRAGCTCTCTTCTTTCAATGACATTTGTTGGAGGCTGATGCTTAATTGGGTCAGACAGACCTTTCTGACATAACAATGAACTCAGTCCAGCTATCCTGGGAGGCACTATCCATGGCAGGGATGCTAGGCAGGGTCTAGGAGGGAGGGAACACGYCAGACAGACATGACTTCAGACTGGCCCATCATTTTTGACCATTACACAGAGGCTGGAAGCAGAGTGAAACCTGGAGCTAGAAGAAGGAGAGCTTTGCTGCAGCACGCCCACTGCTCAGGAGCCATCTCATCTGCAGCAGGAGCCGTGAAGTACATAGTTCATAGATGAATGATGGAATTCTCCTGTCTGGTCATTTGGTGAAAGCAAGTSCTGACCCTGGATAGCATTTTAGCCCTCTCTGCAGAGCCCCTGGTTATGGCAGTGAGTGGGTGCCTTTGCCTTCAGCACGATCCCAATGTCCTTGTGGTGCTGGATGCTCTGCAGCCACCTCAGTGGCTGCCTCTTGCCCCCAAAGGGAGTTGAGCTGTGTGGTGTCTGCCACCCACTGCACATCCGYCCCCCTTTCCCAGGCTGGCATTTGTCAGCTTTGCCTCTCAGCATGCAATGCCTGGCAGTGAGTCACCACTCCTGGGAAGACAATGGTTTGTGCCTTGACCACAGGAGCTCCAGGATCTGCTCTGGGTGGGATCGAGATGCTGGGAATGGGGGAAGTCCCCATCACCTTCTCCGCAGTGGGAGCTTCCTTCACAAGGATAATGCTGCCTATTGCACCAAGAGAGCCAAGAAATCCCTTGACCAACCCATCCAAAGACAGGAAGCAGAAACCTAAAGATCCTAACCACCTCTGTGGGGAAGCCTGCTTGTCTTTTACCCCAGGTGCAGGGAGAAGGGTTCAAGCAGCAAATTTCTGGGCAGATTTTGTTTTGCTTCTCTAGTATTTTCCCAGATGTGACAAGAACCACCAAGAACCATTTCCTAAATGTGTGGGATAGTTGTTTATTTGAAGAAGTGATTCTTTTCTATGTGACCAGGGTTCTTTTTTAAAATGATTTTGAAAAAGACGTTATCCTTATAAGCAATAAATATGTGGCAACCATTTCAAAAGAACTTGGTCTGGGCCCTTTCTGATAGGGGCTTTATATAACCCTTTATGTTTTCAATCTAATATGTATAATATAATACAGTTAAATATCTATTATTTAACTGTAATAAAAGTTAAATAATGAAGTTAAATATGTATTCACAATCTGTGTTCAAAATTACATAGATATTTCTTCATGCCTTTATATTAAACTTTTCTAGCTGCCTTTCAACGTAAGGCAGCCAATAAATAATGGAAGGCTGATGGCATAAAGTATTCTTTCAAAGAATTTTAAAAAATATTATTACCAATATTACAGCATGAGAGAAGCACCCATAGGTGTAATACACTGTTTTTCATTCAAAAACTCCCCACAATGTTGAGGAGGAGACAGACAATTATTTAGGCAAATCAAAGCTTCACCCAAAGCACAAAGCCTGTTCACAGGGTGAAGTGTGGCTGTAACAGCAGCACTTTGTGCTGAACTTGACCTCTCCCAACCAGCGYTTTCCCTTGCTTCCTATTTGCTTGCTTATTTTCAGAGCTCCATGAAAATATTTTTTAGCTTGGTATCTTGACAGAACAATGTTCATGCAATTATTGGTGTTTAGCAGCTCCACACCCTCCCAGGTTCTGATCCTGGCAGCAGAGAAAAAGGAACTTCAAGAGACCTTGAATTTCTACCTGCTTTGTAAAAATAGGCATCTAGTTAAGGAAAATATAAAAAAAAAAAAGGTCATCTTTCTCTGGATAAAGGTTCTGGGAGGAATTTGGACATATTGGTAAATATCAAAGAATTCCCAAAGGACAGAGTTATGGTAAAGGGACTAATAAATTTTACTTCTTACATAATTACTTGACCTTGGTGTCATCACTTTCAATRACTCTCTTCAGGATGCAGAGCCCTGTGGAATCACTCTGTTGGCAGCTATCATCCACCTCAAAACACTGAAAGCTGCTGAAAGGCTAAGTGAGGTCCTGCACTGATGCAGATCCTACAGTTCCTGACTCCATCACAGGCTCTTTGTGTGATCTCAGCACAGAGACRTTTCTCTTCCTGCCTCCTCTCAGCATTCAGATACAAGATAATAAATCGACTTCCCACTCATCCTGTGAGAGGCTTATTTGGACAACTTCTTTTTCTTGTCAGGTGAGAACCCATTGCTGCTGAGGCAACAGAGCATATTGGGAGCCAGACTGCAAAAGGGATGCTGAGGACAGCATGGGTCTCAGGTGCATCTGCCCTGTGCCCTTGAGGGAAGCAGAGAGCAGGCTTCTAAGGTAGGGAGGCCATGGGAGCAGATAGGCAGGATACACTGGGGCTTCTGGGGTGCTTTGGTGCTTTGGTGCTTCATTTTCACTTTCAGCCAGCTACCAGCAGCCAGCATGGCGAGCTGTGCTCCCCCAGCTGCAAAGTAAACACGTGTGAGAGAACAACAGGGRTGTGTTTCCACTACATAGCCAAGTACAGTAGACTCCAGAGGATAAAAATACCCAGTGGAAAAACACGTGGGTTTAAGTAAAACTTTAACCATCAGGGGTTGCCTAGCCAGCAACATGTGTATCTTTCACAGGCTCTCCTGCTTGCAGAGAGCTTTGAAGCTCCTTTGGAAAACTGCAGCTCTTTTTGATTAGTGGCTTCTCCACCCCAACCTCTGAAAATYACACCATAGGTCTGCTTCAGATTATAAACTCATTCAATGGAGAAAGACATAAGGAAGCATGGGCAGCCCATGAGGCAGGGAGAMCCCACAGCATCCCCTGTACAATCTCCCCCAAAAGTAGTTCCTGAGTCGCTGGGGGTCCAGCTGAGATAAACTTATCCCAGAGCAGAGATTATCATGTCCATCCTTCCATCCCAGAACAACACAGAAAGGTGGAGTCTAGCAGGTGATGCACAGCGCTGTGGAGCCCAAAGGAGTGACCACGTCATTTCTGAGCTCTCCTGCAAACTGGGCAGCACGGCAAAGCCCTGGCACTCACTGAGGGTTTTGGGTGGGAGCAGCAGACTGAAGGCAATGGCTCCAGCCCAGGGTGACTCCCATGGCATTACCGAAATGAATGGAATTGCACCCGCCGAATTACACCCACTCAGACTACAATGGGCTGAGCCACTGCTTGAACAAAACACTCCAGCATGTGCTTAAATTTAAGCATATGAGTAAACAATTTCAGGGCAAATACTTACATGCTTGAGTGCATGCCAGGTAGGTGTTGTTCTCAGCAGCACACACTTGGGGTGAATTGGTGCCATTTTTTTACATGGTCATGTTTCTGACTATATCCAGAAAGAAGAGAAACTTTCCACTGGCTGTGGGCCAACAGGCACTTCAGGTATGTGTAAGGTCTTAAAAAAAAAAGTCTTCTTTAATCTTATCTGTCTCATTATCACCCTGACATTTGCTTTGGCTTTGAGTTTAATTACCTCTTGAATTGAACAAAGGTACGGATAGGGCTGAGATAATAAGAAGCCAGTAAAGCTGATGTATGTAGGTAATAGGGCCTCCCTGAAGGTGTTAGTCCATGCAAGCTGACCCCCAGTTATGAGAAAGAAAAGCCGATAAGGGAGAAAGCAATTAATCAATCATTCAGGAAACCGGGGGATGTGTAAAGAGGTGTCTGATGTTTGCATCTTAGCTGCCACCTGGGCTGGTACAAACACAGCAGACCCCATTTAGATAAATACCTGTGCATCAGGGCACAACCAAGCAAACAAAGGGAAGCRCTGGGGGAAAAAAAGAGAGATGGAATAAACAAGGGAAATAAATATATTACCATGAAAGTCAGTGCTCAGAGTGAAAACGTGCACAATAGAAGGATACATTATCAGTCACCAGAAGCAGAGATCAAGACCTCCATATGCCCCAGGTGCTCTGTACACAAAGTAATTAAGTTTCAGTCTCAGAAACACTTCAGTCCAGTTAGACAAAGGTGGGAAGGGGAAAGCAGGAACATAACTTGTCTAACAACCTGTGTGAGCAGCAAGGACTAGAAACAGGATTAAGAGATTGTGCTTTCTGGGTACTTCGTGAGTGAAGGCTGGACCAGACTTACAGCCACACAGAGAATGTCTGCACCATTGGTCTCTTACAGAGACCCTCCTGTTCTAGAACAATTGTATTCTGACTTTTGGAGGCTTCTGACCSAACAGGACACAAATCCCAGTTTTTWAGGAGCTCTTYCTTCTCATTCTGTTTCTCCACTGGGTTCCTGCTGGCTAAACAGAAGGGATGGGTGACTGGGAACTACACAGTAGGAGGTGGCATAGTTCATACTCCAAGACCACATTTGCAACAACTCTTTAAAAATGCTGAAGAGTCAAGTAGTCTRTTAGTCTGAGATGCTATCCATGTACAATGTTTCCACTATGATCTGAGCRCAAAATAAGGTTGTGGTGCCCATTCAAAATCCACACCTGAATGAGAAAATATAATTTTGAGACTGCACTGTGGAAAAATCCCGCTGACATTTTTGCTTTATCAAACAAATGAAAGAGAAACATAATCTTGTCAAAATARAACATTAATTTCATTTTGATTTCATCAGCTTGACCCATGTTACAGCATGCTTTGGAGTCAAAACAGTAAGACTAATATGCCATGATCCGTCATAATATTATGGCATGGAAACCTAATAGACAAAACTCAAAGACTTTTATATAGTGTGATAAAAGTCAAAACAAATGTTTCAATASGCTGGAATTTCTTGTGCCTTCTTTGAAAACACTGTGAGAACCGACACCTTCTCACTGACCATGTCGAGGGTATTGRAGCACTCAAAAAAATTTCCTGAAAAACAAGTTGTAGGGAAACAAAGAGGTAAAATATTTTAAAGCATATGAGTGATAGAATGGAGAATTCTTTTGGATCAGGAGGCAGTTTTRCCATAGCAGACTGCATTACACCTAAAACACATTTTATTACTTAAAGCTAGGTAAAGACTTGCCACAGGTAAACCAATTGAAATGGCTCAGATTCAGTCCTTCAGGATGGATCCACAACAAACACTTGTCCAAGTAGGTAGGTACAAGACATTTACCAAGGATTCAGTGGACTGTGAACAAGGCATTTCATAAAGGTATTGCTGAACCCTGAGCAGAAATGGGGGCAATGGTCTTCCCTGGRCTCATGCAGCAGCTCTTAGCTGTGTGAGCTGCAAACTGATTGACAGTTGTAAGGGTGTCCTTCTCACCTCATCATCTACCCTCTTTGAGCAACACCACGTGTTTCCTGTGGTGTAGCCATAGTGTTCACATTCAACTGATGGAAATTTGGGTGAAAAGCTATGCATTTTATTTTGTCTTTGTTTATTTTCCTCCATTTTTGATTTCCTGCATGTTGCCTGGCCTGGGTGCTATCTGGCTTACAGGTTGAGTAATGCTGCTCCAGATTATGGAGGACCCTGGAGAGATATTCCCATTTATTGCCCTGTTGTCGTAGGGATGAAAGAAGTGGGTTTTACTCATGAYTGCCCTTAAAAGAGTCCTTTTGATTAGAACAACCTGCACATCCAGCTATACTAACATAGAACTTACAGAATATTTTTTCTTCTAGAAATCCTTAGTTCTGGTTTTAAGGTGTAGTTTGTCTTTGAACACCCTCTTTTTCCTGACAAGTGAAACAGCTTTAAACCTTTTGCAACATTACAGCTGAAATTGTACTGCTGCTGCAACACAACCTGGATTTTACTCCCCTTCAGGTTTTTCATCACAGTCTTTTGGATGGAAATTAGAATCTGCACCTCCTAGGCTTACAACATGCTGACCCCAGGGAAAGTAGATGCAGGCACCTGTGCACTGAAGGCTGGCTGAGAGCACTGGGAACACCAGACAGTAAGGCAGAAATGTGACTGGATGAAGCCCATAGTGCAGTGAGTGGCTCTATATCTATATCTATATCTATATCTATATCTATATCTATATCTATATCTACATCTGTATCTGTATCTATATCTATATCTACATCTACATCTGTATCTGTATCTATATCTATATCTACATCTATATATCTATCTATATCTATATCTATACATCTATATCTATATCTATATCTATATCTATATCATCTATATCATCTATATCATCTATATCATCTATATCATCTAAATCTATATCTAATCTATATATCTAGATCTCTGTATCTATATCTATATCTATATCATCTATATCATCTATATCTGTATCTATATATCTATGTTTATATCTAAATCTCTGTATCTGTATCTATATCTACATCTTTCTGTATCACCTATAACATCTATACATCTATATAATCTATATTAATAAGCATATGTCTAATAACTAGAGATGATAGTACAGCCCACAAATGTATTTTAGGCAACAAGGAGGCTAATTTGCTAAACCAGATACTCTTGTGTGCAGGCWGGAGCTCCTTGCCTCAGACACCTCCTGCCTTCCTGTCACTCACATACCAAGAAACATGAGTTATAAACAAGTGCAGTTGCTATGGCTCATGCTTCCTTCTCCCTCTGGAGGGATCCATGCTCTTTGACATGGTTCCAATTGCCCTCCTGYCTCTGGCTACCCTGGCACTTGGAGCAGTCTGTCAAGGTCACCTCCCTGCTGCTGGGCCAGACAGTGTGAGAGCTCGCAGCCGCCCTCCTCATTCTGCACATGCTGACCATCCCCTGGCGGGTCAGGCATCCAATGAGCCAAGAAGATCTTAGCTCCGCTGAGCCTGGCTCTCTCTGTCTGGATTCCTSCTGCGTCTCTCGTTTCTGGTCTCCTTCCTCCTCTCTTCCTCCGGCYGAGATGCCCCCTAGTCTGCCTAGGAACAACAGAAGGTGACATCGCTGTTGGTCAAATATAAACCCAGAGCTGTTGCCTGGAGGCGCTCTCCACCTCATGCTCCTGGAAGCGGCACTTTACAACGCGCCGCCCTGTACTCAGTCAAGCAGAGCTGAGGAGACCAGCACACGAGCAGCTTTAGCAGTACCAGTAACTGACACCGTAAGGTGCTCTTCACTTTGCCACACTCTGTTGCCAAAAGTTGAATTCAGCTGTGGGAAACATGTCAGCGTTTATCCTGCTTGACTGAAAAATGGAGCTAAGGAACCATTGTCTCTGATTATAGACAATTACACATTGTTGTTTCAGTTTGGGTTTTCAAACTGCCTTTCAGCTCGCACAGCAAGTTTTGAAGGGGCCAATACCAGCTTTCATTGGACCAATAGATACGGGCAGAAAAACCAGGCAAGGATTCAGGCACCCCTCAGGAGGACATATATGGACAAAAGTTCACTTGTTTTTCTCCACCCGTAACATCTGAACCAGTACAAGCTGTTGTTCTCCCCATGTCTCCTCCCTCAGTTATGTCCAAAAACYTACCACAACACCACAACAATTCCCAGCTCCCAAGAGATACCCAGAGCATTCAGTGCCAGATCAAGTCGCTTACCCTTTTGCAGGATTGCTGGATCTGACATGTTTTTTGGCAGGACTCCTTGCACACAACCTCATAGCTGGCCTGGAGAGAGGTTTCCCAGGGCRAAAGAGCACTTGGAGAAAGAGCAATAAACCAGGAGTCCACATCCACCTTATGCACACACGGAATCAAGGCACCTCAAAATCTGTAGATGATGCTGCTCTTCCCTGCCCTGGGCTGACACAGACCATCTAAAGCACACATGGATAATACTGCCTTTGGCATTGGTTGTGCTTTTGCTTGGTGTTTCTGCTGGTTTATCTGTTTCTGGGGAACCTACAAACAGCCACAGCCACACACCATGCAAAGACTGGATACAGCCACCTGTACTAATCTATCCCTGACTCCTGAGTGTGCTGCTGAAAGRTCAGCAGCCAAGGAATGAAAGGTGATGGGATAAAGCTCTTCCAGAGGTCTCTCTRTGCTAAATCAACCATCATCTCTTGGTTAAATCAAGCACTTTTGGTGCAATCTCTAAAAACCCTTCACACATCAAGGTACACTGTTCTCTATTCTTTCGGCTACATAAGTGTCTTGTTCCAGCTCAGTCTTCCATCTGTGTGGGCAACAGCACCTTGCCAAAGTTAGTCCCCAAGCCACGACCCTTTTCCCTTAAGTCAACTGTTTCTACACCTAGACACGTAAGTGGTTCAAACACGCACGTACCAGCAGGMAAAGACAGTCTGGAGCTGCCTCAATCCATACTGACTCCAGGAGCCCATGGAAGAGGGCACATGAGCATGGACAYGATGGGAAAGCAAGAGGGGCACTCTGTCCGTGGCCCTGAGCTGGCAGACTGCTCAGCACTGTGCTGCACCMAGCAGGCAATAGCACAGAACCCCTGATCCTCACTGCACGGAGCCRTCCTCGCTGCCGYKCTGCCTCAGCCACCCTCTAGACACYG